TCATGATCCTGGAGTCCCGGGATCGAGTCCCGCATCGGGCTCCCTGCTCGGCAGGGAGTCCGCTTCTCCCTCTGACCCTCCCCCTCTCTTGTGCTTGCTCTCTCTCATTCTCTCTCTCTCAAATAAAAAAAAAAAAAAAATCTTAAAAAAAAAGAACTGATACTGATGTCCAATTAAAGATGGCTGATCAAACACACACCTCAGCCTTAGTGAATAGCTAGTCCAGATGGAGCCAGTCAGAAAACCGTGGGAATATTTCTTCAGGGAGATAAAACTGATTGCATCCCAAGTGCATTTCAACATATTCAAAGGAGATCATACAACTGGGGGAATGTTTAGGTTTGAATTAATGATAAGTCAATGGGAAGCTAAGAAAATGAAAAAAATAAATAGCTCAATATCATCTCTGGGACAAAGAAAGTATTATTTAAAAGCATCCATAGTGCCCTGCAGAGATCAGTTTAGATGCCATTTGCATTGTCATAATTATATAAACACTAAATATTTATCTATTTAAAATGACAACATAACTATTTTGGAGGATGAGGGGGGAAAGGTAGCAGGCATGCAGTGGGCTAGGGAGGGTGGGAGAGAAGGAGAAAGAGAACAGAATATTCATTGTCCAAACTGGAAACTCAATAGAGAATGTCTAAATATGAAATATCAGATCGAAATATGTTATTTAAACCTATTATGGTTGTTTCTGGGAAAAAGAAAAGAGGATTCAAAAAACAGCCAGGCTATATGGATGAAAATACAGGCCATGCTGCTTTAATAAAAAACAAAACAAACAAACAAAAACCTCAAAATACCAATGCTCAAATGATTTAGGTATATCTTGCTCTTGTTTGATATGGCCCAGAGAGAAGCAATTTGGGTTGAAGGGTTGGCTTTATGACCCCCAAATGTGGCTTCCATCTCGGGGGCCACAGCAGCCATTCTAGTTCTTGTCATGCCAACCAGTGGGAGGGGGCAATGGGTCAGGGCAGCACCTGTGCATACCTTGACAGGAACTCGCCCCAGAAGTAGCACAGATCCACTGGCCAGACTGTGGGCACATGGCCTAACTAAGTTGCAAGGGAGCCTGGGAAGGGCAGTAACCAGCTGTTGGCCAAGTGCTCTGCTAAAACACAGAAGTCCTATTATTAAAGAAGGCAGGAACTAATGTCAGGGCTCAACCAACAGCCTCTGTCAAATAAACTTTGGAGAATTATTTGATTCTTTTAACAAGGGCCTTTGTAACTATGGAATTTAAGACACGGTGCCTTAAGATCATCTTTTGAACAGTGGAATGAATGATCCAAACCTAGAAGACAAGGGTCCTGAAGCAGAACGCAGGCATCCCCAGAATAGACGGTACAGATGGTGTGGAGCCCAGAGGACCCAGTCCTGTTTGGTACCCTGCTTTAGGTCCTTCCATTTCGGGATGCTTCCAGCTCCTTTTCTGGTATGAATATGCTATACTTTCAGCAAGGACACGTGGGCACCCCTGCAAACCTATGATTTTGTAGTAAATTATTCCAAAAGAACAAGATTCTGAGATGGAGATTAGTGTGTAGGAGGTAGGCAAAGGGAAGGAAGCAGGGTTGGGCAAGGGGAAATGCTGGGAGTTCTGGAGCTGGGACAGACCAAAGGTATCGAGACAAGGGGCCAGACTTTTATATCCCAGTACTGACCAGTCTGGATGTCCATTGTCGCAGGAACTTGCAACCCTGGGGAGTAACCTTAGATAAAGTAGCTGTCTTCAACCTGGGCAATTCACAGAGGGTCTGAGAAGTTCAGCCTGCCTCCTGCCGAATTCTCAGCAGCTCAGGGAACAAGTCCTTCCTTCCTGAAGGGGCATTTGAGCAATGCATCACAGCATCTACTATATATGGATCCAAGTAGCTGTCTCGGGGTCTCTGTGAAATCACTCATTCAGATTTGGGTTCCAGCAGGAGTGGCTCTTGTATTTCTCTAGAGGAGTAATTCAATGATCTCATTACAACTACAGAGGGGCTGGGAGGTGCCGGAGGATTTGGATGGAAGCTGCATGTATGTAGCAAGTATGCTCTTTGACTTAGGTTATATTTTTACTGGAGGTGGCTGCAGGACAGCTGTTGGGGATTAAAGGGAGGGGACCTAAAATATAGACAAACCAGATGATATCTATGATTATACTTTACTTTCATCTGTGCTCTTGGGTGATTAGTCAACAGTTGTTGGTTAACATATAAAGAACTCTTATCAGGAATTTAGGCTCCAAAAGAAACAAAAGCAAGGGCTTCAAATAACCCTATTTCCATCTGCCTCAGAGGGTGTGTTCCTTACCACAGGGAGTGTTAGAAGTAAGTCTGCTCCAGAGAAATGAGGGGTGTGAAAACATGTGGTTGGCTAAGAAGATTTCCACGGGCACCTCCTTCTTTGATCTGGCAGTCCCAGCAGTCCAACACCTTCTGGAATGATACCCTAGGGATAGAATTCTGCCCCATAGTCCCCAGCTAATGGAGGGCAGGCCGTCTCTGTCACCTCTGTCCCCTGATCCTGATGTCAAAATTTCGTTGTGACCACATCATACTGAAAATTTCCTGCAAGGGGCTTGTCATCGTTCCTAAAAAGACCAGAGAATGGGGCAAAGAAGTTGAATGATTTACCTGCTAGTACATGTTTGAGTGTAGGTGGCAGAATGTGATCTGAGTTTGTTTTCATTTAAACATATGTCTTGGAGGTGAGGTTGTCTAGGGGAAGGGACATAAACCTTTAACTGCTAGAAGCTACCAATATTTTTCAAAAGACTCTCATAATTGTGAGTAGCCAAATTAGCCGAGGGGCTGAGAAAGCGAATGATGCCTCCTGTTATTGCTGGTTAACTGTTCCAACAATTAACCCGTAAAGTAATAATACCTGAAACAAACGTGATTATCAACACATTGGTTTAGTGCAATGATTGATTATAAAAATAAACCCACCCTGTTTTAGAAATTCAGTACATGCTATACAAAATAACAAAGTAAACCTAACTTGATTATTCTAGCTGGTCATTTGACGCTTACGTGGTCTCTGCTACTAGACTTGGTCTTGGGCAGGCTCAGCGTATGGCTCAAGCTCTAGGATGAAGTCTTTCATGTACCTGATGATCCGGGGCATGGCTGCGGAAGACTGCTGGGTTTCACTCTGCGGTGTGAAAATCAAGAGGATTCTAATGGGAGATGATCACAGAGAAATGAATCCAAAGTCCTGCTTTGGTTGATGTGGCCTGGAGGACCCGTTCCCAGCAGTCCAGCTTGGCTGCTCAGGCAACGCAGTGAGACAAAATCGTACCCTCCAAATACTGACTACAAGAGCATTAAAGGAGATGGGGAATAAAAGCCGTTGTCAATATGATAGTAATCTGGGGCGCCTGGGTGGCTCAGATGGTTAAGCGTCTGCCTTCGGCTCAGGTCATGATCCCAGGGTCCTGGGATCGAGTCCCGCATCGGGCTCCCTGCTCCTTGGGAGCCTGCTTCTCCCTCTGCCTCTCTCTCTCTCTGTCTCTCATGAATAAATAAATAAAAATCTTTAAAAAAAAAAATGATAGTAATCTGCAACTCTCAGAGTCAGACCCAACTTCCCACTGCTCCTTCAACACAAACCCGTGAGGGGGGCAAGCCTCTCCTCCTCCTGCCCCCTGACTTACATCTTGGCTCGGGAATCTCTGATTGCTCTTCTCTCTTCACAAACCCTCCCTACCCTTCAATAATCCCTTCTTCATCCACACAAAGACGCCTCCCCCGGCTCTGTTGGCCAACATTGATCCCTTTGTCTAAACTACATTCACTTCGCCCCTTACATATCTCATGCTTTATCTTCTGGAGATCCTAAGTCCCAGAGCACTTCACTAGGGAGGAGCTTGCCGCCTTTGCCCCATCTGTCCAAGGCATCCCCACAGTGCCTAACACAGAGCCAAGAGTTCGGGGGTCCTCAGTGTGTGCTTGCTGAGTCTCAGAGGCTGGACACTCCGAACACCTAGGCAGCGGTGCAGGGAGCAGCTGGGCCCAGGCAAGCTAGAGAAGGAGTTTAAAGTCAAAGGATTTCTTAAAAAGTGGTACTAGTGTGCTCACTTCAGCAGCACATACACTAACTTTGGGACGATACAGAGATCAGGATGGCCCCTGTGCAAGGATGACACGCAAATCCGCGAAGCATCCCACATTTTAAAAAATAAATAAATAAAAATTTTAAAATAAATAAATAAATAAAAAGCGGTACTAGCGAAACAGGACTGCTGTTGATCTGCATGCATCAGGTTTGCAAATCCTGGTCTCCAAATGATTAGCAAGCGATGTCTGGCCCCCTACCCTGGGAAAACAAATCCGTAAATGGAACAGCAGAGAAGCATTACTCGCTTCATTCTGGACTTCTCCCCTTGACCCAGGTTTGTTTCTAGACAAAGGGGCACCCCAGGAAGCCACATTCAGGCTGTGTAAAGGCATCCCACTGTAAAGGGGCTATTACGCTCAGGGAACTAGTGTCTTTCGGGTCTCACCCCGACCCTGAGCCCAGCTCTTTTCCCTTCTGGAATCTATGCCAGGTCTCTGCTCAGATACGGTTTGCCATGAAGCTCTGGGGGTAGGTGTCAGGGGGCAGGAGGGCAAAGGGTGGAAATCAGCGGACCCTGTCTCTCTGTGCAGTGCTATTTGGGGGCAGAAACCAGCTTGTGCTTCTTTCCTAAGGATTTGGGATGGGGATGTTGGCCTTTGGGAGAACAGAGAGATCTAGGTCAAAGGCTAGTTGGGGAAGAAGGTAGAAATATCTTTCTTCTGAAAGAAGGCTAAATATGGAGACATGCCCCCAAAGACGTGGGAAAATGAGAGTCTTTATTTTTGATGAGAACAAGGAATGAAAGATAATTGAAAGATGAAGGCAAATGTCTCAGTTTGCTTTTTTGAAGATACTCATCTAAAAATAAGATCATGTGGAGATGAAATGACATGTCTGAGTGCTGCTAACAGTAGCCCTTTTGGGGCCAGGAGATATGGAGCAAAATGTGTTCAAAAAGAGATTTCTCTCTGAAAACCATTACTCACTGCCCTGCTGCCAAGGTCAATGAGAGCTGTAGTTTTGCTGCTGTGAAACTGTTTACATCCAAGAAGACTCAGGGACACAAGGTCATGGGAGGTAAGCAAGCCTGGAGACCTCAAAGGCAAAAGACAATAAACACAGGAACTTTCAGGGCTTTTAAAGAAGCTCAATTGGGCCAAACAAATTCCCACTTCAGATGTAGAGTCACAACATCTTGTAGCAGATGGGAATAGGAGCGGAGCAAGAGTTGGTTCAAACGGAAGTACTGTGAGGTTTTATCAGGACCAAAACAGGCCACGGAGAGTTAAGGCCTGGAAAGTTTCTTCAAACATGTCTGGACTAGAATGAAAACTCAACTGGCATGGAGCAGAGGGATTAAATTCAGGAGCAAGTTTCCAAGGAGACCTATAAGAACCCAGTTGGAGGAAAACCTCTTTCAGAAAATTCCTAAAATGGAATGAGTCGCCACCGAAGCAATGGGAGCACATTCAGTGAAATGACCAGGAGTGGATGGAGGCCTGATGTGGGGGAGACTCAGCTACGACCTGAAGAGGTATTTCGTCAGCAAATATTTGGGTATATTTAATTGAAATGCATTTATAGTAAGTCAATGCCTACAGAAAAAATGTTAAAATATTCTCTCTGGAAATAATGTGGAATTTGGTCCTAAATTTGACCACTCACATTAAGCAGTCTGAATAAACATGGTGGGACTTGGCACCCATCTGAAGTATCAACTGCTAAGAAGAGAATGCTTTTAAATCTCCTGGAACTCTGAGGAAAGGTACAGAATGCTTGGCTTCATGGAAGCCTAGCGTCCCTGTCCACAGCAGCACACCCCACTTCCTCCTCCTCTCTCAGCATCGGCTGCTAAAGGTCTTCATACCTCACCACCACAAACCTGACTCACTTCTTTCGTACTGAGAATCCCAGCAACTTTTCTTTGAAATTCAACTTTAAAGAAAATGGGAAAGTATATTTTTAATCAGAGAAAAACCTCAAGCTCAGTGAAAATTACTTCGCAGTTCCTGTTGAATGTAAACTAGAACCACTTTTGAGGTGATCATTAATTTTATAGAAGTGATATAAACCAGAATGAACTTCCATCCTACTTTATAATCAATCAGTTAATCAACAAGTCCGAAGGGAGTAGGAGCGCTATGCATTCTCTGTCGTGCTGCATGAGGTTACAGAGAACAGAGTAGTAATCACTGCGTAGTAATTGAATGTTCAGGGCTGGATTCAAGTAATTTTAAGCACAGAATTGAAATGATCAGGTAGAAAGAAGGAAATGCAGAATGACTTAACCAACTACTTCAGGAAAAGAAAACATCCACTACCTGTTCCAGTGTCCTCATCTGATGGTATTTCTTTAAAAATGTGGCAAGTTATGATATCTTTGAGAAAATCTTTGAACTTAACAAGCATTTCTAAAAATATGTGTGCAACCAAAGAAAGCACCAGAAAATGCATTTTGTCTATGGTTTATGCGCATTCATTTAATGTATTTTTTTCCTGAAATCACCATGCATTAATATTTTTCAAAAGTTTCTTTCTAATATTCTTTTAAAAAGTACTAATTCTAGTTTATTACACTTCGAAACAACTTTCTCCACCCAGATTTGACTAGATCCTAGAGCCTAATTCACATACCAGATCAAAAGTTTTCTTGTACAAGGTCGTTTCTATTAGACTAGAAGTACTTGAGTTTATCATTTATTGTAAAAAAAATCCATTGAACTTTGAAATCTAACCACCTTACTTGTTGTCAAGACTGTATTCCCATGAACGTGGCTCTGAAAAATAACATTTGCTAGTGTTTCTTTAATGCATAAAATTATGAAGAATGTACTGATATTCTGTAACCCTACCACATAGATAATCTCTGATAACATATTTTTAAAAATTGATTCATGTAAATAATGAAAAATTCAAGCTGAACAGAAAGTTATACAATGAAAGTAATATTCTACTTTCTCATCTCACCCTGGTTATTAGTAATTTCTTATAGTTCTTCTAGAAAACATTTTTTCTCCCACATGAAAAATGCACTGCACATATATATATACACAAACATCTGCATATGCACATATTTTTACATTTTTATAGGGAGAGCATACAATCAATACCTAGAGTGCCTCATCTGGCTTGTTTTCACATAATAAGATGTCTTGAAGAACTTCCCATGTTAGCACAAATAGACCAACCTCATTCCGTTTAACAGCAGCATAGCACCCAATTCTGTTGGATGCTATATATATCCAATATATTCTACCATGTATTTCAGAAGCCCTTTGTTGATTGGCTTTAAGTAGTTTCCAGGTTTTTCTGATTAAAAGAAAATGCTGACTGAAGATCCTTTTATAGCTTGGCTTTAAAAAAGGGTGTATTAGTAGATTAAATTCCTAGAAGTAGAATTTTTTTTTTAAAGTTTTCTTTTTCAATCTATTCTAACCTTTAATATTGCCTACAATTTAGAGGGGCAAAGCTTTCTAATTTTGCTTAGGTTAGGAAGAAAAAAAAATGGAAAACATCAATGACACCGAGTATATAGGTCCAGCTGCCTTGATTCATTTCAAATTCAAGTGGGGAGGTGCTTATCTTGAAGAGATACTTAAAATGAGGTCCTTAACAATGTTTTTCTCACTCCAGAATAATACAGAATGAGCTATCAGGTGAGTAGCATCTCCTGTTTAGCAGGCTGTGGAGAGAGTTCCATAATACGGTCATCTAAAAATTATTGGTACCCGATCAGATCTTTGTGATTAAGTCACACTGAAGGCAAGCTATCTGGTCTCTCTCAGATAAGATTTATGTGAGGTTGTTAGGCCTGGGCCTCAACCGGAGTCACCAAGGAGATTTCTTTGTATAAAATAACTCCCCCCTGTATATCATTTAAGTGGTCCCCGAGCCATGTGTAATTTTACGAGACCTAGATGCTGTAGAGGAGAAGCCAATTTTAGAATCTTGCTTTCATTAAGTGCAGAATGTTCATCCTACTGGGAAAAACTCAACTCCTTTTGCCAGTATTAGCAGCCAGGCCAAACCTTCTGTATATCAGCACCATATGACAGATTCGAATTATGCCTAAGTCACTGGGGTTGGCAGAGATTGAAGGGGGCTGTGTCCTCCAAGAGAACAAAATTGCTGATGTAAGTCTGAATATAGAAGTTTCATTTTAGGAAAAAGAGAAACTTTTCTGGGCGAGGCTAGATTTGCTCCATAAATCAGGCCAGACAAATCCCCACAAGTCGGCCCTTGGGTGTTTCTAAGAGCAGACCACTGACGCCCCTTTACTCAATCCCAGTCTGTTTGTGAGCCCAACTGGGCTCCCATAGGTGACTGTCTTTAGGACATTTCTTGGAGTTTGAGAAAACCAATGCTCCATAATTTCCTTTAATTTAGTTGTGGATAGGAACCATTCTTCCATTGGTTTTCCGTACTCTTAGTAAATGAATAGTCAGAATTTGGGTGGATAGAAAAGCAGGCAAAAGATGTGGTCATTGATATATTTCTGTCCCTGAGAAATTCCCACTGAAAATTAGATATTGATCTCAAATGGCAAACAGTAATAAAAAATATGACAAATGGAAAATTGCAGAAATAGATGGCGATACCTATGAAGCAGAGCAGAACTGAACTGCTTTGATTAGGCGTGCTGTTCCATTTTATTCATTAATCCTTTTAACAAATATTTTTGAGCACCTATTCACCAGACTCTTCTAGATTTGTGTATATAAAGATTATATACCATAAACAGTTAAAGTAATACTTTGAGCTAAAAATGGTTTCTATCACAACTACTGCAGTACAGCAGTGGGCTGGACAATAGAGCAACAATAGGGGCAAAGACATACCAGATAAATAATAAGAAAAAGAAAAAAAGCTGGGTTTTTAAAATACAATATAAAATCAATATTTATAGAATCTGAAAAAATAACTTCTTTTTTAGAATAAAAGAATTTATTTTTTTCAAAATCCAAGGAACATTTATAAAATTAACCATATACTGGGCACATATATCTCAATAAATATCAAACAATGTTTTTTAAAATGCAGATCACACTCCCTGATCATAATGCAGGGGGAGGGGGCAGGGGAATCAATAAAAGACAAAAATAAAGGAGCCAAAGGC